AAATTTATTAGAGAAAAACTTAAGCAGAATGTATTTCATTTTTGAATTTAACAGTTAAAAATACTGTGTTTCTTTGCATACCACCTATTTTTCTCTTTTGTACCACCAGTGATGTGCATAGAATAGTAGAAAATTATTTAAACTTATTAATAATTTCTATAAAATGTGAGAACTGTGTGCGTGCATATCTGTGCAAGTTTTAGTATAGGTATCTAAAGTGTGTCATCTCAAAATTAATTCACACTTTTACATCTAACTCATAGCAATGCAGATATATTTTACCCAATCACAAATCAAAATTTAAATAAAGAACCAACTATATATTTCTCCCTTCTGCTAAATGTATATTTACTTTGACACACTGCCTCACTGTGCTGTTAATATGCATCTCTCATTTCTCTGTGTTGTCCATTATTTAAGGATATGCTAAACTATACAAAATTATGAGGAATATATCACATCCATAATGGATGTGTGAATGAGAATACATACACTAATGGAATTAGTTGTCCAGCAGTAAATTATGTGTTGTCTTTAGCTACATATATCTATCTATAAATGTCATCTTTGTGTCTATGAAGAAAAGCCTTTGTCAAATTGTTACTAGGCTACTATCTCCAGTGCTACTACTCAATCATTAGTACATCTATATGTAATACAGTCAAAAGTCGTTAATCCGGACTCGTCGGGACTTCGGCGATTCCGGATTATAGATCATCAGTTTAAATCTGGTAAGATAACATGCAGAAATTGCAAAATTAAAAATATGAAACCGTAATTTATGAAATAAAGAACAATTATGATCTAAAGGGTATCAAAATTTTACAAAAAAAAAAAAAAAAAAAGCTTACTTTATTAAACATTTCTTTCAATGTAGTAGTTTAAGTTGCTTCGTTTCATGTGATATATTTTCTCTTTAATTCTTAAACAGACTAATTGTTGTTTAGTTACAAAGTTCCACTGTTCAAGTCCTATAATTGCTTTAAAATCATATCAAAACGGAGTACATCGACATGAAATACTACATTTAGTAAGGAATTATAAGCCAAATAAAATAAAAACATCTGCCGTGAAGATAAGGATAGTGCTGACAGATCAACTTCCAATTCATTACGCGTCATCTATAAATGTCATCTTTGTGTCTATGAAGAAAAGCCTTTGTCAAATTGTTACTAGGCTACTATCTCCAGTGCTACTACTCAATCATTAGTACATCTATATGTAATACAGTCAAAAGTCGTTAATCCGGACTCGTCGGGACTTCGGCGATTCCGGATTATAGATCATCAGTTTAAATCTGGTAAGATAACATGCAGAAATTGCAAAATTAAAAATATGAAACCGTAATTTATGAAATAAAGAACAATTATGATCTAAAGGGTATCAAAATTTACAAAAAAAAAAAAAAAAAAAAAAAGCTTACTTTATTAAACATTTCTTTCAATGTAAGTAGTTTAAGTTGCTTCGTTTCATGTGATAATATTTTCTCTTTAATTCTATTAAACAGACATAATTTGTTGTTTAGTTACAAAGTTCCACTGTTCAAGTCCTATAATTGCTTTAAATCATATCAAAGACGGAGTACATCGACATGAAATACTACATTTAGTAAGGAATTATAAGCCAAATAAAATAAAAACATCTGCCGTGAAGATAAGGATAGTGCTGACAGATCAACTTCCAATTCATTACGCGTCATCTATAAATGTCATTTTGTGTCTATGAAGAAAAGCCTTTGTCAGATTGTTACTAGGCTACTATCTCCAGTGCTACTACTCAATCATTAGTACATCTATATGTAATACAGTCAAAAGTCGTTAATCCGGACTCGTCGGGGACTTCGGCGATTCCGGATTATAGATCATCAGTTTTAAATCTGGTAAGAAACATGCAGAAATTGCAAAATTAAAAATATGAAACCGTAATTTATGAAATAAAGAACAATTATGATCTAAAGGGTATCAAATTTACAAAAAAAAAAAAAAAAAAAAAAAAGCTTACTTTATTAAACATTTCTTTCAATGTAAGTAGTTTAAGTTGCTTCGTTTCATGTGATAATATTTTCTCTTTAATTCTATTAAACAGACATAATTTGTTGTTTAGTACAAAGTTCCACTCCACTGTTCAAGTCCTATAATTGCTTTCAATCATATCAAAGACGAGTACATCGACTGAAATACTACATTTAGTAAGGAATTATAAGCCAAATAAAATAAAAACATCTGCCGTGAAGATAAGGATAGTGCTGACAGATCAACTTCCAATTCATTACGCGTCATCTATAAATGTCATTTTTGTGTCTATGAAAAAGCCTTGTCATTGTTACTAACTATCTCCAGTGGCTACTACTCCATCACTATCATATATATGTATATACAGTAAAAGTCGTTAATCCGGACTCGTCGGGACTTCGCGATTCCGGATTATAGATCATCAGTTTAAATCTGGTAAGATAACATGCAGAAATTGCAAAATTAAAAATATGAAACCGTAATTTATGAAATAAAGAACAATTATGATCTAAAGGGTATCAAAATTTACAAAAAAAAAAAAAAAAAAGCTTACTTTATTAAACATTTCTTTCAATGTAAGTAGTTTAAGTTGCTTCGTTTCATGTGATAATATTTTCTCTTTAATTCTATTAAACAGACATAATTTGTTGTTTAGTTACAAAGTTCCACTGTTCAAGTCCTATAATTGCTTTAAATCATATCAAAGACGGAGTACATCGACATGAAATACTACATTTAGTAAGGAATTATAAGCCAAATAAAATAAAAACATCTGCCGTGAAGATAAGGATAGTGCTGACAGATCAACTTCCAATTCATTACGCGTCACGCCCTCCTCCCCCCCCCCCCCCCCCGCAGAGCAGCGTGAAATTGATAAACGGATTTCGAAACATACTTTCGCTTTGTAAATCCTTTACATATTAGTAAATATGTATCGGAAATTCTATTTGACATAATCGAAAGTTCAAGCTTACTTTTATAAAATTGCTCTAATAATCTGCAAAAAATAATAAGCCGGATCCAATTCGAAGATTAAGGAACAACGCAATCTGCAACATTAACTGAATTAGATAATTTTAGCTTACCTTTTACCGTCCGTTATACATTAAACGCGCACACATATATTTGCAGCCATAAAGGTCTTACGCGCACGCGTAATTGCCTATGCGCGTGCGTCAAAGCGACGCATCCGCAGAAAGTTTGTAGCTTTGAGGTCCGGATTATAGATCATTCCGGATTATGGGTGTCCGAATTAACGACTTTTGACTGTATATATTATGTGCATACTCTATTATTTACTGACATATTTTCCCCCTAGTTATTTTGCATATGATTTAGAAACTTTTAATGTATGGTAACAATGTATGGTATAGACACAAATGGGAAAATATATAGTATAAATTAACAAAGTGTTATTCAAATTGATAAATCCTTTGAAATACATAATAAAATAAAAGTGTGTCTTTGTGTGTGCTTTTCAGTGTGCTATGTTTATCATTTAAAGTGTCTCTTCAGAAATAAATTGACTGTATAGTTTCCCCCTCCTAGTTTTCAAGCAATAAAATTAGAGGAAGAGGGGGAAATACATGTGTATGGTATACATTACTTTATAAAAAGGAAGCAGTTTTTCTCCCCCACCCAAAAAAAACAGAATTGCCATTCTACCAGTTGTTAGAATTCATGTATCTCCTGCACCTGCAGTTATTTTGAATGCTGTTTCTAAAAAGGTTTCACTTATTTAATGATGTGAAACATATTTTCCATTCAAAAAATCAGCTCACTATCTGTTAAGATATAAAGATTAAAATAAAAATTACAATTAATGATATAATTTCTGAGACCCTGCATATTTAGGAATCTTGTGGCAAGACATGCAGCAACAGTAGTTGTCATACCTCTCACTACATTCAATAAAAGCTGAGCAACAATAATAGTGCTCTGTTTTGTTGCCATATATGGTAAAGGTTTTGTGAACAGCCATTGTAGTCCTTTTTCTTTTCCATTGAGATTGAGATGGGAGAGAAGGAGAACTAATGAATCACAGTAGAATGAATGGCATGAGTTATTGATTGGACAATGAAAAGCCAGAGTGGAAGGAAGGGAAAAAAGGTGATTTAGACCACGGGGAGGCAGGGGAAAATGAGGATTTAGTCACAGAAGCAAGGAGTGGAGAGGAATGTAATAAGGTGTCCAATTAGAAGAGCACAGGGTAGTCAGTAAGTGAGCAAGGACTGTGTTGGGGGGGGGGGAAATTGCAAACAATAACCACTATAGGATGAAGAGGAAATCTCTGATCGTGGGTGTTTAAATTTATCAACCATATGTAATCAGCACCTATGCTAGTAAGTAAAAAAATTCAGGTTTGTTAAGTAAATTTTGTGAGCTCTTGTAATCTGTATGCTGTGAGTTACTAGAATGTAACAGTAGAATCAAGATATACTGAAGTTTTTAGTGACTGTGTATTCACTAATTTCATCTTGTTGTCCATTGTTTCTTATGATTGTTTCTTATGATGTAACAAATGTATATTGCTAGGCTAGACCTCATGTACTTAACAATAAAGTACTCTTCATGAACACCTATTCAGATCTTAGTATTTCTTTCATTCTGTTTGCTCCTGTGAACCATTACTTCCTAGGGATATCAACTAAAGAAAAGTATTTGAGAAAAGGTGAGAAAAAATTCTAGCCATGATTTAGCAATGTGGCACAGCAACCAAGAGATAACACCTGTTAGTGGTAGTTCACCTTGGATCCGGATTTGGGTAAATAGGTTGGGTACCTGGGACTTGTGTGGATTTCCTTTTGTATAATGTGAATAGTATGAGCCAGTTCTCTTAAAGTGCTTTCCACAAAGGCTTCCCTCCCCTTAGGCAGATATTGACAAATATTTATGTTAAATATTTTCCACATTTGAACAGATATTTTGTATTCAATGAATGTAGCTATTGTACATTTGTAATATAATACGTATTATTTTTGTTTTTAGATTGCATCTTGAGTAGGTACTTACAGTATCATGATTTCGTTGAAATGCACCTTGATAGTGTCTTCAAATACCATGAAAATTGTACTCTTCCAAAAGAAGTGAGTGAATCTATTTTTATTACTTTTTTGCATATGTAAAAAACTGTGTACTTCACTCAAACAGTGCATCTCAGTAAATGTATCACATCCACTATTGGTTCCTTACACATTCATTAAAATTTTTAAGATATTCTGATATTACTGATAAAGATATTTTCACTGAGTATTAATTTTAATTGCTTTATAATAAAATATTTAAATTATTAATAAGAAATTTTAATGCATCATTTTGTGTAAAAAAATTGTAGTTCATGATAATTCAGGACAAACACACGTTTTTCTTGTTCAACTCTGAGAAAAGTGTTTTGCATTTCTTGTCTTTTATTGTCATCAGTGATGAAAAGCCCAACTTGCATTGTAATGAATATTAACTGATTCCACTGATATTTCTGGATGCTTTCTCTTTTCCTGTATCTAAAGCTCTAAAGAACTGATAATTAATTATACTTCCATTTGAAGTGTTCAGACTGGCTGAAATTCTTTGAATTGTTTTTTCTCCAGAAGGAATTTTATGATATTTATTCTGTAGACACAGAATAAGGATTTTATACTCAAATCGTATTCAGAGACAATGATCATTTCATTCTCAAAAGCTAGAAAGTGATTTCGAATTCCCTGAATATCATGTTCTGGGTGAATCTATATCAAAAGTTAGAGAAAAGATCTGATGATTTTATTTTTCATTTGTAATTTCTATGTTGGGAAATCCAGTGTGTTTATCACTTGAAATCTGTATGTTTTTTTATTTTCTTTCATACTCTTATTTGGACAGCCTAAATGTCTGAAAATGCTATCATTTAAATTATCTTAAAAAAAATATGAGGGCAATTTGGAAACTAGCCTCCATTTTCTTAAAACCACATAGATTAGTATTTTTTGTTATTTATATCTGAAAGGTACAGCTGTCCTTTATTTTCTTAAAACCACATAGATTAGTATTTTTTGTTATTTATATCTGAAAGGTACAGCTGTCCTTTATTTTTTTTAACATAGTCATGTACATTCAAGCACTTGTCATAGAAGTTTACCAACTTACCAATCCCTTCTGCATAAAACCCAGCTGCCTACGACTTCAACCAATTTGTCATAGCAGTTTGAAGTTCCCCATCATCAGCAAAGTGCTGTACCCCAAGCCACTTCATTTTTGCAAGGAACAGATGGTAATAAGAAGAAACCAAGTCCAGGCTGTAGGGGGATGTTGAAACATGCCCTGTTTGAATTGGCGCAGATCTTGTGTTTCCTGAGCATTATCGTGCAAAATCCCAGATGTTAGCAGTCCGCTGCCTTTGTTCTGGTTCAATTTTCTCAGAGTGTTACAGATCACTTCAGAATTGATTATCGTGCCACGTTCCATGAATTCAACAAGCAATATTCCATTAGCATCCCAAAACATGGTGATCATAACCTTCCTCACTGACAAAGTTCGATGGACTCTTCTCAGCCATGTTGGGAGAACCAATATGGCCCCATGCCACTGACTGTTGTTTTATCTCATTATTCACAAGCGCTACCCAAGTCTCATCATCAGTCACTATGCTATTCAAAAACTCCTCCCCTTCTGTGTGGTACTGTGAAAGAAAGACTAAGGCCATTTGATTGCTTTTGTGAATCTCTGTGAGAATTTTCGGTACCCATCGAGCACAAAACTTTCATTTTCCTAATTTTCCAGTGACTACCTTGTATAAAACAGTCTGAGAAATGTTCAAAAATTGTTGTGAAAGTTTCGATATTGTAAACCAACTAGTTTGTTTGCTGAAATCATCACTCATTACAGACAGCCTCCCATTGATTTGTCATTCATGTTTGTTCTTCCATCTTTGAAAAATCTCATCCACCGATGTTCTGTACCTGCACTTATAATGTTTGGGCTGTTTAGGATACACATTTACGTTACATTGTTTTATGAAATCATCACTCACTACAGACAACTTCCAGGTTAATTCTTCATGCATGTTTGTTCCTCCTTCTTTGAAAAATCTCATCCACTGATGTACTGCATCTGCATTTAATATGTTTGGACCAATTGCAACACATAGTGCACGACGAATGTCTGCTGCTGACAGTTACTGCCCCCCAAAGAAAGCATTTTACTCCTCTTACCTCATATTTGGTGGAATTTTCAATAGCAGAGCACATTTTGTGACATTATAACCAGCACACTCTCATTAGCGGTAGTATGATACTCTCACTAAGACAGCAGGAAGCTTACTGAATCACAGATTGCTTGATATAAAAATCATTGCGCTGCACTCACTACTACTAGCACCATGCTACATTTTAAGTTTCTGAATTTCCCTTGTATTAGCAATTACTTCCTTTATTCAAAAATATTTCTGTCAAACATTACCGTTTAAACATTACTGTTCTAAAAAAAAACTGTTGTTGCCAATCGGGAAAATACATTTTTAAAAAAAACATTTACCTTCAGGTATCCTGACGTTCTTTTGACCTCAGAACATTAAGAACTTATACTTTAAAAAATTAAATCTGTACAGTTAAAGTTTATAGTTCAAAAGTTTTTAACTGTCATATAGATTCACCATCATTTTCTATTCTTTTTCGGTGTCCTAGTTTTAGTAATATGCGGCGCGTTGTTATCGTTATCCCCAGCAACACTAATGTCATCATCATCGTCCTCCTCTGATTCAGCTTGATGCCATGACTTTAATTGGCTCAGATGAGCTGTCATACTAAATGTCCTTTCACCTTCTCGTCTAATTGAGTTACTCTATAGGTATCACTTGGTAAAACTTCTGTAACTACCAAAGGTCCTCAATACTTTTGTCGTGTTTTGGTTGATTCTCCAGTTGATTTAGGTACTCTTGTCATAACTACTATTTCTCCTTGTTCAAATGTTAAAGAATTGCTTTTCTTTTTGTCTTAATTTGCTTTCATTTTCATCTGCATATCTTCAGTTCTTTTTCTTTAACTTCTTCCTTTTCAGATTTTCTCTTTTACCGGTAATTGCTTTCTTAGGAGATCTGTCTATTCCCACATTTATCTTATATTGCTTTACAGATGGATTTACAGCTTCCCGGGTTTATTTCCTTTTGCAATATCTTTCTCCAGTTGTCTTTTTTTTTTTTTTTTTTTTTTTGTTCTCAACAAACTTCTTTCCTATTAATTTTGTTTCTTCACCAGCTAAATTATCTACCACAGTTTCTTTTTGTGAACTTTTTTCTTTCCCTATATTAATCTCTTTCTCAAATGCTGTAATTTTACAATTCTTGCTATATTTCTTAAGCTTTTGATTATAATGCCTTTAATATCATTGATAATCATTGAATATCATTGAATAGACGTGCATTCTTTAATATCATTGATATCATCACTCCTAGTTTCTTCTTTAGGATATCACTATGTTATGTTCTTCACTTGTATTCTGTTTAATGATTTTCTTTGAAGTCCTTTTTAGTGACTTTTACAGTATTTGGATTTTCAAACTTTCCATCATAGTCCAGAGTTGCTACGTTTTCATCACTGTTAGCTGATTCTGGACAGGAATCTTCATCATTTAAATTAAAATTGTCTTCTGATCCACTTTCATGCTTAACTCTTCAGCTTCAACTAATTCTGCTACTTTCACTCTACCAATACATTGATTCTCTTTCAAAATTAATTTTTGATCGCTGTAGTTAGTGACTGGTATCACTGTTTCTCCCTGTATTACTTCCAATAATGAGCCCAACTCATCTTCTGATCCACGTATTAAAACATAACTGTTATTTACTTCATCAGTTTTTAAATTTCACGAAATGAACAGTATTACTTTCGATTTCAGTTTCTTGGGAAGCCTTCAATTTAATTCGTGGAGTGGTGATATCATTTTGTAATTGTGAAAATGGACAATCATTAGCATAGCATATATGCAAGGTATTACCTATCTTGGTGTATGCAATAGGTGGTAAATCAGTCCATGTTCAACCAACTAATAAGTCGCATGGTTGCGTTTCATCTCCTACATTTAGAACTGTAATGTCCTTTTCTTCCACATTATCAGTCTCTAAATTAACAGTTACTTTTCCCAATGTTCTAGCGGCTGGTTTACTCTGGTTCCCAAAGCCAAACAATCATTTTTTAATTGATTACTCTGGTTCCCAAAGTCAAACAATTCCTCCACATCAGGTTTTATAATAAGATTCAGTTTCTTAGCCACAGACTGTTTCAATAAACACGAACTAGAACCCGTATCTATGATTGCAGTAATTTCGTAATTTCTTCTCCATTATTGATGTGAGCATACTTTAAATATACAGTTCGTGAAACACCTGAATTCTGGTTCACGGATAAATTATTTTTAACATTTGTCAAGTCTGAACTCTTAGACATACACTTTTTAAAATTATGACTCTTTTCATTACATTTCCTGCAAATAATTTCTTTTTTAGGTTGAGGACAATTCGTCGCTATATGTCCATAATAATTACAATTGAAGCATTTCGGCTCACCCTTTCCATTGCAGATACCAGAATTATATTCCATTTTCCTATCGTCTATTTTATAAAATTTATCTCTCAAACTGCATTTATTATCAAAACTGTTTTAAAAACTAACTTTGAAATTACCATCTGTCTGCATAGAATCATTAAAATTTCTGGATCTTGAATACTGATTATAGAATCCCTCAGAAAATTTAGAACCAAATTTAGGCTTAGGATTATGCCTAAAAGTTTTGTTTTCTGCTTGAAGTAATTTTATCCCTATCCAAATATTTTCATATTCATCTAGTTTTTCAGCCAACTCTTCAGGATTAATGAATTTAGACCAATCATCAATGAAATGATCTCATATAGCAGCGGGGACCCTTCCTTTAATTGATCCATGATAATAAGCTATTTTAAAGAGTTAAAATCTGTTACATTTAATCCAGTAAGCCATTCTTCAAAATAGTTTTTTAACTCAAACGTGAAATCTCTCCACGTATTATGTAATGTTTTAATATGATCAACGAACTTCTGGCAAAACTGTTTAGGGCTTAACTTAAATTTTCTCAGTAGCAG